CGCCCGCGGGGCCGTGGCGGCGCGGGCCGCTGCTCTGGATGTGGGACACGGCCTCTGCCGCCTGCATGTTGGGCGGCGCGAAGCGCGAGAGCACCCGCAGCAGCGCCTGGGCCTTGTGTTCCTGCGTGTCGTCGTCGCTGTAGTCCGACACGCGGCACTCGTACACGCCCTGGTCCTGCCGTCGCACGGCCGACAGCCGCAGCCGGTGCGAGATGTCATTACCCTGGACTCGCACAGTCTGTGAGAGAGAGCGAAAGCAGAACGTGGTTAGGAGGGACAGGCCCAGGCTCCCTCCGGGCCAGAGTGTGCACCCCTCCCCATGCGAGTTGCTGGACCCGGTCACTTCCCGGCTCCCCTTTCACCCTGTCAACTCCAGGGTCACGGTACCCGTCTCTGCATAGATCCTATCTCTGTCCATTGCATTGTGACCCCAGCTCCCCTCGCCTACCTGAACGGAATGTCCCATAGCAGCCCCCTGGCAAGATCTACGCTCCATCCTCCTGGCAGCCACCTTCCTTCAAGAAACCCCAGGCTCTTGCTGCTCAGCCTTCCCAGCTTCTGCAGAGACCATGCTGCCTCCAGTCCTGCCCTCCATGTCTCCCTGCTCCAACGTCCTTCTAGAATCCGGAGGCCTGGGTCATGTACCCCCTGCAGTTCTACCCTGCTCTACAGAGTCGCCATGAATCAGAATGGTAGTGGGTTGGCTCTTCACAGCCACGTCCCTACCCTCGCCTGCCTGCTGGAATCAGGGTTTCCAGATGGGCCCGGAAGACCCTAGTGAGGCGCTCCTCTGGGTGGCCTCGTCCAGACTCCAGAAAGAAACTGGCTGTGGTCCTCCTGAAGACCCAGGGAATCGTCCCCTCTGAACCGCACTCACAAGGAGGCCCTTCCAATTTCACACTCTGCCCAGGGACACTCCGATGCATCTCCTGCCTGAGTCTGACGCTCTTTTGCCGCCCTCCTCTTACCCTGAGCGCGGCCTGACAAGTCAGTAACACCCAGCAACAGACGTCAGGCAGCCGAGCCCAGGAGAGGGCTGTCGCAGGGGCGGCTGAGAGAGAAGGAGGCGGGGGCGGGGGCGGGGGCGGAAAGGAGCGCTGCTCCTGCCTGGAATGCCCTAAGACCAAGCAGATACTACAAGGCCAGAGAGCACCATTCCTAAGAAGGCAACTCAGACCTCGATCTACCAAAAAAAAAAAAAAAAAAAGAACCGAAGCCTCAACCAGGGACCAAAGGCGACTGGACTAGCCAAGCAGCCGAAATTGCCACTTGCCACGCTGGAAGCAGGACCCTGCCCCGCGCCACTGAAGCTTTCTAAAGGGGAGGGAGCTGCGGGGAGCGAAGCGGCCGGAAGGGGTCTCCCGCGGCCCGTGCAGGGCTCCACACTTACGCTGATTTTAGTTGCATCCTTATTTGTTACCTACAATGCAAAGAGGAAGAGAGGCGTTAGGCTCGCGGCCTTTCGGCCCTGGGAACTCAGATTCACCCTTCACAAGGTGGCTGGGACCCGAAGCAACCTGGGCTGTGGCAGGGGCTCAGGGCAAGAAGGGCATCAGGCTTTTACCCGGGGTGTGTGTGTGTGTGTGTGTGTGTGTGTGTGTGTCCGGGAGTAGAGCTGGCCTGGTGCCTGTGCTATAGGAGCGGAGGGGAGGCTGGATTGCTACTGGGGTGGGCAGGCAGGTTCATCTGCCTTGTGTTCCCTCCACACCCCCAACATCTGCTTCCTAATTTGGAGCCTGAAAAGCTGGATGGAAGGGTAGGTGTGTGGACAGGGCCCAGGGGGAGGCTGTGAGCAGTAACTTCCAGATGGGGCTCTGGGGAGAGGGCAGATGTGTGTACGCTGCGCTGGAGTGTACAAATAGGGGTTCTCTAGGCAGTGTGGGTCTGTGTTCAGACCCCATGGGAGCTGTAGGTGACCTGCCAGCTTCCCTGTACACGGTGCTTTGCTGGCCTCTGGAGCTGAGCCCAGAGGAGCTTGGCTCCTTGGCTCTGTGCCCAATGGATCTCAGCGTGGCAGAGGACAGGGAGAGCCCAACGGATCAGGTGGTCTTCACTCAACAACAAGCACGCAGCAGAAGCCGAGTCCACAACCAGTCAGCAAGTGTGGATGAGCTGTAGTGTGGATATCTAGGGGCTGAACATGAACGGAGTGCGGGGAGGTTTCGGCAGAAGGAAAACTCAAATGGCAGGGTTTGGGTTTGGGGGTAAACCACCGCTGATGTAGAAGATGCTGTGGCCAAGGGGGAGAATGGAGATGTGCAGCGCCACAGGGCGGCGCCCTACGTCCACGCACCGGCTGCCTTTTCTGGGGTTACCTCCTCGCCGCCCCCGGCCTGAGCCCCGGGAGCGCGCGGGCGCCGCGTGGGCGGCCGGTTACCTTGCTCCGGGCGCCGGGCACGCTGAGCGCCAGCTCCTGCAGCAGCTCCCGGGGCGGCTCTTTGAGGTACCACCACTGAATCTCCAGCGAATACGAGGTGGCTCCGCTCGCCCGGAACGCACAGGGCATTTCGATGTCGTCGCCTTCCCTCACTGTCACATCTTTGGGGACTTCGGTGAATGTAGCTGGGGGCGGGGAGAGAGAGGCGTGACCAGCTGTGGGGCGGGGGCCGGGGGCTACCCGAGGCCAGGCGGGGGTCCCCGGCGCTCAGGCCTGGCGTCCCCTCCCCCTAGCCACACGGGGGCCGGCTGCGGGCGGCACTAGCAAAGTTCGGCCGAGCAGCGGCGGGGTCGCAGCGGGGACCGACTACTGGCTGCCAGCTGCTTCCTTTCGGACGGGGCTGGGCGGTCGGGGAGGCTCTCGCTTCTCCCCAGCGCTTGGCAGCAGCCCTAGAACCTGGCTGGGGCGGACCAACTCTCGCGCTCTGCAGGCCACCTCTCTGCAGCCGGAGCCCAGGCTCGGTTCCGAACGAGCCGGCGAGGGTGCAACCGCGGCGGTGCCCCTCGGCTGCTCTCGGCCCCCTGGCCCTCCAGGCCCGGATGCACACCAGGCTGGCGGTCGACTGTGGAGCCTTCCCTATCCTCTTCCTCCTCCTCCGCGGTG